GGGAGCCGTGCACACGTACAGGAGTCTGCACGGGGAGCCGTGCACACGTACAGGAGTCTGCGCGGGAGCACGTGCACACGTACAGGAGTCTGCGCGGGGAGCACGTGCACACGTACAGGAGTCTGCGCGGGGAGCCGTGCACACGTACAGGAGTCTGCGCAGGGAGCACATGTACATGTACCGGACAGCACTAACACATCCGTGCACATGTCCTCACAGCCAGCACACATGCTATACCCACCCCATGCACACACACAAAGTTCAAGACGGGCTGCGTCACCAGGGCAGTGATGACAATGCAGTCTACTCAGTGACCTTCTCCCAGAGGTCACTGTTGAGTTCAGCACCTCCAAACTTCCCACACTTAGAGCACACCCCTTCTTTAAGCCTTCATTAAAGTCAAGGCAGTGCTCCTACATCTGGGAAGATGTAACACAGCTCAGAGATTGGGGGCTCCCCTCCCCAGGACCCCTGTCCAGATCTGGTGCCCCCACAATGAACCGGGGGTGTGGCCTCCTTACCGATCCAGTAGGTATTTCAGGTACTCTGAGCAGTCCTGCTGGGTGCCAGGGCTGAACCAGGGAGTCCAGGATGCAGAGAGGAAATTCTCTGGGGAAATGGCGGGCCGCTGGGACAAGGGGGGCAAAGAGACAGGGTCAGGAGCAGGCCAATCAGTTCTGCAGCTATTAGGCCTGAGGGTCTGCCTGGCACCTCCAGCCTCACACGCACCGATGTCCTCCGCCTGCTTCATCATCCCCAACCCATGCCATTCCACACGTCCACACAGCCTCTGAACAATCCTGACACACCTCATACTCTCTCTCCCTCTCTGCCTAAAACACACTCTCCCCTGTCCAAATGAGTTCCAGATGCAGGGCCACCTCCATGATTTCCTGTGCATGTCCCCGTCCTGCTCACAGCACGCTGCATTTCCCTTTGTTAAAGCACAGTGATTGTCATCTGCAAGTCTGTCTTCCCTAGACTGTGAGCTCCATGAGCCAAGGACTGTGGCTTACTCATCTCCGCCCCACTGCCTACTCCATGGCCAAAGACTTTGGAGGGCAGAGACAGTATTTGATTTGTTCACAACTGTACCCTCGGGGTGACTGGTGATGTGGGTGCTCAAAAGTGACAGTAAAGCTAGGTGCAATAGTTCCCACCTATAATCCCAGCACTTTGGGAGGCCAAGGAGAGACAATTGCTTGAGCCCAAGCATTTGAGACCAGCCTGGGCAACACGGTAAGACACTTTCTCTACAAAAAATTTAAAAATTAGCCAAGCGTCGTGGCAAATGCCAGTAGTTCCAGCTATTCAGGAGAGCTGAGGCAAGAGGATCACTTGAGCCTGGGAGTTCAAGGGTACAGTAAGCTATGATCATACCACTGTATTCTAGCTGGGTTGACAGACTCTGTCTCTAAAAAAAAAAATAAATGTTTTAAAGTTATAGATTAAGCAATATGCTATGGTTAGATGGCATACACAGAGAGAAAAAGCCAGTGTTAGAAACTTCATCTCCAGTACAACAGTACTGAGAAGTGGGATCTGTAAGAGGGGACTAGGTCGTGAAGGCAAAGCCCTCATGAATGCATTAGTGCCATGCTGCTACTGAGGGAGTGGGTTCCTGACAGAAGGATGAGTTTGGTCCCCACTCCTCTCTCTCATGCACTCTCTCTTGCTATATCATAATGCAACAAAAAGGCCCTCTCCAGATAGCCCCTCAATTTTGAGCTTGCCACCCTCTAGAACTAGAGAAAGCAATTTTTCTTTAACAACTACCCAGACGCAGGTACTCTGTTATAGAAGCACCAAAAAGACTGTGACACAACACCTTAATTCCATAGATGACTCACTGGAGGGAGAGATTTTGGTTGCACTGCACTGAGTGGGGCTCGGGGGGCTGCCCTGTGCTCCCCTCCCCAGTAGGGGCACTGAATCAGCCCCATGGGCTTTGGCCATGAACCTGTACCAGCCCAGACTGGGGCTCAGTAGCTTATTCCATAAAGTGGGAGACTATAGCCAGATGCAGGCGAGTCCTGGGGAAGGGAAGGGCGTCAGCACAGGGGCCTGACTCTGGGGCCACCCCACCCCTTAATCCCCCTGCACTCACCTGGCTATGCTCCAGGAAGGCGAAGAGCCACTGCAGCTTGGTCATCAAGGGTTGTGAGTTGTTCTCAGTCAAACGGAGCACACTGTGTCTGAAGCTTCAAGACAAAGCAGGAGCACCCAGGGTAAGCCACGGGCACCCAGGGAACCTCTATTCACCCATACTGCAGTTAACCCAGAGCCACCTGACCAAAGGCAGAACAGACATTTCTAGCTCAAGTCAAGGGCAGAGGCTGGAGGAAGAGCTGGTAAACGGCTCAGTTTGGAGCGTCTGAAGTCAGCAACCCAGCAGTGCCATGTTTAAACAATAAAGGATACAACAAGGTAACCCCTGTGGGTCCCTTCCAGCTCTGACGCTCTAGGATTCCAAGAATCAAATGTCCTAACATCCTGTGTTCCCAGGTTCAAAGGCTGGGACGCTGTCACATGCTGCAGAGTCTGTGCCAGCATCACCCCAGCCACAGCAGCCGCTCACACCTATCCAAAGCAGCAAGCAGGTTTGGGTCCCACCTGGGCCCTATAATCCACTCCTACTGCCTGACCCTAGAGCACCTCAAGTTATTTCCCTGCCTTCAAATGAGGCATCAGCTCCTAGTAAGGGAGGTCTGATCCTGTGGGAGACAGGCCCTCCTGACATGCACATTCCCTGAAACAAGCCAGGGTGAGTGGAGGTTCTACTCTGGAAGACAATCCACTCCCATGGACTCTCAGAGAGAAGTCAGTGATGCCAACTAGCTCACAGCAGACTGTCTTCCAATGTAGCCTGGCCGCGGAAGCCCCATCCTGCATTCCCACCCAGTCTTGACCTACTGCCACTGCAATGGCCTGCAGACATCTGTACCCTACGTGACCTTATGAATCCCACCAACAATACAAAGCATGACCCAATCTCTCCAACACCTCTCTGCCTTTCACCAGGGAACCCAAAGCAGAGAAGGACAAGGAATTTAAAAGCAGCACCTACTCAGAAGCCATAAACAAAGCCTGAAGGATGCTGTTCACGTAGCATGTGTTTCCCAGATTGATTAAACCAATCTTGCCCGTGTCTGACTTGGCCATGAGCCGGGGGTAGAAGCCAGCCAGCTCACTCTTCTGTGAAGTCCAAGCATCCTGCCCCAGCAGCTGCTTGATGCGGTCCTCATTGGGAACATGGAGGTCCTGAGGAAGGAACACTGGGGTCAGCTTGAAAGACAGCATCTCCCCTGGAAGGCCTCCTGGGCTGCAGTCCACCCACAGCCTGCAAGCATACCAGCCCACACACCCTGCTCACAAAGGCACTCCTGCTTCTCATCTTCACATGTGGGCCTTCTCCATGACCTTTTGGGTCACATCTGCCTTAAGATGGTATAATCCCCATTTCATAGATGAAAAGACTAAGACTCAGATAGAGAACTGTCCAGAGTCACACAGGCAGTAACTGAAGAGTCTGTAGGCTCTTGGGATAGCCCAGGCTATTACAGACTCTAAGCAGTGACAACCTGGCCCACTGGCCCAATCCAGCAGTGTCAGAGACTTCATGCTAGTATCCCTGACTCTGGTCCACTCTAGCTGTCTGGCCATGATTAGGGAGCCTCTCTGACTCAGCAAGTGAGCCTCCCTGGGCCTCAGTTTCCCTATCCGTCAAGTAAGGACACTCCTACCTTACGTCAGTTTGGCATTCTATATTCTCATGGTGCTGGCACACAATGATGTTCCTGTTTTCACCTTCTACTTTTAGATTTGCAGAATCAGCTTTCAGGGGAATTAGTCCCCCCCCTGGAGCTTGATCCTACAGTCAGGATGGCGGGAGGATCCCAGGGGTCTGAGGTACAGGTCCTTGGGCATTAGCATGCTTTCCCACTCATTATCCTCTGTCACATTAAACAGCTGCACCTAAAAGAATATTACCGAGCAACAGTTCTACTAATGATGTATTTTAAAAAGAAACATCTAAGCACTGTGTAGTTACTTAACAGATGTAAGCAACATCCAGAACAGTTCCTCTAGCCCTCTTATTTCCAGATTGTAAGCGCAGTGCCCTACATTCGTCCAAGGCTGAGCTTCATTCGTCCACTGAGCTTCATACCAGCTTAGCACCAGCCTCCCAATGCAGGCCCTATGGCCACTGTGGAAGGAAAGTGTCATTCAAGCAGTGGTTCAACACTTTTGCTTACTTATTTCCCAGGATCATTTATGTGATAATTTATCAGTTTGTCAGTCACCTCTCACCAGTGATAAAAACAAAACCAAGGAAGTGCCCGAGGGCAGGTAAGATGATACAGACTCGGTATCTTAGTTCCTTTTTTTTTCTGCTATGTCCCATCCAGTCCCCCCAACACACACATACAACATGAACAAATAAGGACAGAAAGGCAGACAGAACACCCCAACACCCAGCAGGCACACCCAGAGAAGATGCAAAAACATCCACACTAGAAAAAGACACCAGGATGGTGCCGCTAGCTCAGTGAGTATACCGAGGGTGGCAGGTTCGAGCCCCGCTCCGGTCAAACTGCAACAAAAAATAACCAGGTGTTGTGATGGGTGCCTGTAATCCCAGCTACGTAGGAGGCTGAGGCAAGAGAATCACCTAAACCCAGGAGTTGGAGGTTGCTGTGAGCTGTGACACACAGCACTCTACTGTAGGCGACAAAGTAAGACTTTGTCTCTTAAAAGAAAAAGACACCAAATGCCCCTTTACCCAAAGAAGGTAATTTTGTATTCTCAGAAAAATAAAATCTTCCAAGTAACTCTCAAGATTCTAATGTTGCCAGAAATTTATATATAATGACTCTCTTACCAAGGACAGGCAGTCCCCAAGTTACAAACAACATCCACTGATATACAACTTGCACTTACAAACCAAACCTATTACAGGTAACAGATACATGTATCTGTTCCAATTCAGCCTGTGGCTCAAGCAGCTAAGGTGCCAATCACATACACCTGAGCTGGCAGGTTCGAATCTAGCCGGGGCCTGCCAAACAACAATGACGGCTGCAACCAAAAAATAGCCAGGCATTGTGGTAGGTGCCTATAGTCCCAGCTACTTGGGAGGCAGAGGCAAGAGAATCACTTGAGCCCAAGGAGTTGGAGGTTGCTGTTAGCTGTGATGCCATGGCACTCTACCCAGGGGGGACAGCTTAAGGCTCTGTCTCAAAAAAAAAAAGAACAAACTTACAGAACCTATCTTGTCTGTAACCAGGGGACTGCCTGTACCACAGCTCCCAGAGAAATGCCCTCACCTCATAACATCTGCCCAAGAGAACTTTCCAGAACTTATTTACAAGGCACATGTTTACAAAAACTTTATAAACAATAAAATCCTATTTGCCACCTTGCCTCTCTGGCTTGTACCAAAGAGTAGTCAAAGCCACAAGATATGTGTGGCACAGCTTCCCAGAGATGCCACACCAGAATACTCTCTGGTATTCAAGGAAGAAAATACTCATGTTCAAACAAATGTTTGTAATTATGAAGTACACATGTGTGTCTTCAGGATAAAATGAGACTGTAAAGAAACTTGGGAGTTCACATCAGGCTGTTTTGGGGACCCTTACCCCTCGCCTCACATCAGGTCACACCAGTACTTTGCTGGAAACATTCGAGAAGCCCAGATCTACTGGATTAAACAGCACCAGGCTTGTCTCACTCTGCACTCTGATCTTGCTCACCCCCTGCCACCAACACATCACTGCCAAACTGCCACGCTCATGCTGCTTCTGTGCCCTTCCCTCTGACCAGCTGAAGCATCCTCTGCTTGCTGGTTTCTATCCATCAAAGTCTAACTTGCATATCCCCTAAGCAGCTTTCCAGGATCTTCCCAAGTGGAGTCCCTGCACTAAGTGTACCCATCTTATAAAGCCAAACTCCCTGAACCCACTGGGTATCACGGATTCACCTTGCGCCCTGGATCAGACCATCCACCATCCATCGCACCTCGTGTGCAAAGCCTTCATCTTCCTCAGCCTGTGAGTGCCCAGCACAGGGCCACACTCCCTCCTCATTGTCCACACTGTGGATACAGTGTTCTCCACACTTCAGTCACTGCAATGGCAGTCCATTCATTCACTCACAGACATCTACTGGGCACAGAGGACACGCACGGTCCCCACCCACCAGAAGCTCACCATCTAGCAGGAGATAGTCACAGATCGCAGAGCTCTTGATCTGCCTCCCTTCTGATGCTGATGACCTTGGGCAACATGCCCAACAAGTGGAAGCCATGTCTCTCTACTCATCCCACCTCCAGTGACAGGACGTATCAAAGCAGCAACTTCCATTGTAGATTAGCTCTATTTAAAAATTCATTCTCAGGCAGTGCCTATGGCTCAATGGAGTAGGGTGCCAGCCCCATATACCAGAGATGGCAGGTTCAAACCTGGCCCCAGCCAAAAGAAAAAAAATTCTTTCTCATGTTAAGTTTGAAAAACTGAGAAGATCCAAGTAAATGCCTGAGGTTTTATTTGTTGTATCTGCCAACTCTTATTCACAATGGATTGCTCCTTTTAATGCTTTATAATTTTTTGTATTATAAGCTCATTCAGTAGAACTTTTTATGGTGTTTAATTTACAAGTATTTGCTTCTACCTGGTTACCTTGAGTATCACAAATTTATGACTACATTTAATGTTAGTCTCTGATCTTCAGGGTCCCACAACCCAAAGATAATATGAATTTGAACCCCTAAACCCACCTGACAGCAAGCCACTGATTACATTTTCCTCCTAATCTAGGGCCCAGACCAAGCTAGAAAAGTTCCTTTGATGTCTGTGCAACCATGTGTATAATTTTTCTAGATCACTCTTTTGCTAACAGTAAAGCCCTTCTTGGGTCCTGGCTTTCAGTGGATTTCTTAGTACCAAATGCCTTCGTGACTGAAATTGGCCGTTTCACCCATCTTCTTACCCCACCCCACAGGAAAAGACCATCATTTCTCACATACTAGTCTGGAATTCAGGTCTGTCTTTGGCCCTGAAGATTCTCTCTTAACTTTCTTGTAAATTTAGCTATGAACTTGAAATGCTATTTGTTACATTTTACCAAGCATCTCTAGATGTTTTGTAGTGGGACACTTTCCAGGTTGTCTAGTCTGCTATGCTGCAGAAGTGAGTCTACACATCTTCACCTTGCTTGGACCTGCCTTGTGTATCAAGCACTGTCGAAAGGCTTGATAAGCCAGGGCCCTGGCTACGTCTCTCCCTACCTCCATGACTTTGCACACAAGTCACCAAGCCTCCTTCCTCATATTTGAGTTTGAAATAACAATACAGCTGGGTGGGCTATATCTTGTGGTCGGCACCTGTAGTCCCAGCTACTCGGGAAGCTGAGGCAAGAGAATTGCTTAAGCCCAAGCGTTTGAGGTTGCTGTGAGCTGTGACACCACAGCACTCTACCAAGGGGAACAGCTTGAGACTCTGTCTCAAAAAATAAATAAATAAAATGAAACAACAACAACTGCTCCATAGCCTTCTTCTGAGCATCAGAAGACAAAGTATGTGAGAAATCACTGACAAATGTACCACTATCTACAGATATCACTGTCAGAACCCAGCCAGCTATCAAACCCAGCTTAGAAGCCCTTGCTTCTTTGAAGCTGCATTCTCTAACTGGCAATCTTCCCCTGCTGTGCTCTCAGGCCAACCCTCATAGACATTTTCACAGCTGCTTAGATGAAAAGTTTCTTATACACAGGTCTGTCACTCTCACTCAGCTTTAAGCTCAATGGAGGGGACTCAGTTTGCTTCACGCCTGTGTCCCCAGTTTCCAGCTTGGGCTTGGCACAGAGTAGGGCATCCATGAAGTCATGTAAACAAGTACAGATAGCTGGGTGCAGTGGCTCTCTCCTGTAATCCTAGCACTACAGGAGGCCAAGATGGGTGGATGAGCTCAAAAGTTCAAGAACAGCCTGTGCAAGAGTGAGACCCTGTCTCTACCAAAAACAGAAAAATTAGCTGGGTGTTGTGGTTCACGCCAGTACGCCAGTACGCCAGTAGTCCCAGCTGCTTGGTGGGCTAAGCCAAGACGATTGCTCAAGCCCAAGGCATAGAGTCAAAAAAAAAAAAAAAAAAAAGAAAGAAAGAAAAAAGCCCAAGTCTTGATAATCTCTGCTCTGGAGAGCTCAGTCTGTTTGGGAGACAGACAGTGACATGTAACACAGGGATGCACCAGGGCTGTGGGACCCAGCCTGGTTGGGGGAGGGGAATCGGGTGTTATCAGAGAAGGCTTCCTGAGGGAGGTAACACTTGAGAGCCTTAAAGCACAAGAAGGAGCCATCCAGGCAGAGTAAGGGAAGGGCTGACAGTTAGAGATAACAGCACATGCAAAGGCTCAGAGCAGTTACGAGCAAGTACGACACATCTGGGAACGGTGCAGCTCTGTGTGCCTGAAGCACGCTATAGACAGGGGAAATGATGGGAGACAGCCAGGGCCCAAATGATAGGGTAGGGGGTTGTCATCAAGCCATGGCACGTCCTTGAGGAAGGCCCAAACTGGTATCTTTGTCACAGTGGGGTGAGGGACAAGAAGGGGATTGCTACTCACCTTGATGGCCTCCATGACGGGCTCATACAGATCTGGGAAGCCCGGGAACCGGAACACCATGCAATGGACCAGCTCCGCCAGCTGCTCTAGGCAGCTAGTCCCCGAGTTGGAGTCCTCCTTGACCAAAGAGGCCACCATGGGGGGAATGTGAGGGAGGAGCTGTGAGAACAGAGCTGGGTTAGGCACGGCACCCGCTGACCCACCTGAGACATAAGATCAAAGTCACTGCTGAAGGCACCCAGAGGTCTTTGAGGCAGGAGTTTACCCACCTGACGACTGTCCCCTTACTCAGATGAGGGTCTGAGCTCTGCAGGCAGGTGACTCTTTTCAAAAGACACACGAACTAAGTCACCCTGCCTCAGTTTTATCATCTGTAAAATAGGCTGTTTAGCTCAGCCAGCTGACCTAACCCAGGAACCAGAAGGCCTGAGCACCCAGCCAGGAATGGCACAGAGGCACAATACAGCCAGCGGGTGAGCACTGACGGAGCGAGGACACAGCTTCCACGGGCTAACAACATCATTCCTCCAGCAAAATTTACATGCCAAGCCCTTCATCCTTACAATGACTTCATTTGGCAACAATTATTTCCCCTTTTTATGGACGAAGAAACTGAAGTTAGTGAGGTTACAAAGCTTGCCTTGGATTTCACTCTGGGTGATGGGAAAAGCTGGTGTCAGAAGCAAGTCTGTCTGAATCTGAAGCCTATTTCTTTCCCCTGTGCTCCGGAGTTTTAATTTTCAAACCCACAGAGACGCCAGACCATAGTGTGGTAATGGACGGAGTCAGGCCACAGGAACTGGGAGCAGGGGAAGCTCAGGAGAAGGACAGAAGAAACAAATCTTTCAAACCCCTAGTAACAGTGATTTTCAATAGTGTGCCGTGAGAGTATCTTAGGTGTATTGCCAAAATTTTTTAAAGATCATTAATTAAATTATTTTTGAAAGAAGTTAAAAGCAAAGTATATTCTCTATGTTACTCTTTTTTTTTGATCAACATAATTTAAGGGTGCCACAGAAGTTTAACTATAGGTTCAAGCGTTCCATGAGATAAAAAATGTTGAAAAACACTGCCCCAATGCTCATGCCTGTAATCCTAGCACCCTAGGAGACCAAGGCAGGTGGATTGCCTGAGCTCACAGGTTTGAAACCACCCTGAGAAAGTGTGAGACCCCGTCTCTGAAAAATAGCCAGGTGTTGTGGTGGGCGCCTGTAGTCCCAGCTACTCAGGAGGCTGAGACAAGAGAATCGCTTGAGCCCAAGAGTTTGAGGTTGTTGTGAGCTGTGACACCAGGGCACTCTCCCAAGGGCAACAAAGTGAGGCTCTGTCTCAAAAAAGAAAAACACTGCCCCAGTATGTGGCAGGCCCCTGACAAACATTGCCTTATCTAATCCCCTCCAACCAGCCTAGGAGTTACCCCTGTTCCAGACTCTGAGATAAGTGCCTAGCCCAAGGTCACTACATCTGGCAAACAGCAGAGCTGAGTCTCACCACAAATGCACCAATTCATGGCTGTGAGCCTAACCCACAGCAACAAGCCAGGAAGCGTGATGTTTTACTGCCCTGACCCAGGGCCACCAGAATCTAGGGCCCCATCTATAGGTCCCAGAAACAGGCAGGGTGAGAAGGGCAGCCCCCAGGGCCTCAGGCTGTCCTCCACAAGTGAGGGATCCAAGCACAGCAAAATGGGCCCAAGCTAGAGGCCAGGCAACTTGGTACTACGGGCAGTAGGGTGAAGGAAGGACACTGGGCTTGAAAGTTCACACGCGGCTCGGCGCCTGTGGCTCAAGCAGCTAAGGCGCCAGCCACATACACCTAAGGTGGCGGGTTCGAATCCCCAGCCCAGGCCCGCCAAACAACAATGATGGCTGCAACCAAAAAATGGCCAGGCGTTGTGACGGGCGCCTGTGGTCCCAGCTACTTGGGAGGCTGAGGCAGGAGACTCGCTTGAGCCCAGGAGTTGGAGGTTGCTGTGAGCGTGATGCCATGGCACTCTACCCAGGGGGATAGCTTGAGGCTCCATCTCAAAAAAAAAAAAAAAAAGAAAGTTCACACGCCACTCGCCACTGTGTCTCAACAAGTGACTTAACTCCCTAACCTGCAGTTCTTCATCTGAAAGACAAAGAACATGAAAGCCACCTCGTCCCAGTTCTGGGAGTTAAGCAAATGAATACATGCATCAGCACTGTGCCTAGCACGTAGCTGGCCCCAAGGAGCATAGGCTATGGGCATTCTAGGCTTCATCACTACACTATAGTCTCAGGCTTCTTTTAGTCCTTTCTTCTAGTCCTAACAACAGGGCTTCAAGGTCCTAGGCCTCAAGGTCTACCCACCCCCCCAACAGAAATGGCATATCTGGCCTCTGGCCTCTAGTCTCCCAGGCCAGTTGGGAAGGGGGGCTGCAGAGCCACCTGTCCTTGGGGAAATAGGTAGGGTACTTACCAGATGAAAGGCCTCATGGGAGTGCTGGAAAGTCAGGAGCATGTACTTGAGGACAGACAAGGCAGCTCCCCGGACAATAGGGTACAGCAGTTTGGAGAAAACCTGAAAGAAGAGTCCCTGGGTCAGAAGTCCAACAGGCCTGGCTGCCTGAGGCTGAGTGTAGTTACAGGCCTGAGAGGGGGTCAGAGACACAGTCAACTGAAGCAGCAAACCCATCCAGGGGCAAGAACACAGAGGTGCTCACAGACCAGGGTAGACGGAAGATAAATATCTATTTCATTTATTTTTTTATTTCAGGTTAATGCAAGGGTATGAACAACCAAGTCATAATATTTGAATTTATTAGATAGAGTCCCTCTTGCTGTGTCCCACACCCAAAAGGTGTGCCATATACCCCTACATTGTGGCCATTAGGTAGGAACACCCCCAACCTCCCTTCTTTTCTTGTTCCCCCTGCCCCCAACTTGAATTGAATTGAGCTTTTCCCCTCTGTGGGCATGAATTAAATCATCTACTGGCTTCATATTAGTACTGAGTACACGGGATATTTGCTTTTCCAGTCTTGTGATACTTTACTAAGAAGAATGTGCTCCAACTCCATCCAAGTTAATACAAAAGATGTAACGTGTATGTATACCAGAATAGTATTCCATGGTATACATATACCACAGTTTGTTAATCCATTCCTGAGTTGATGAGCATTTAGGTTGTTTCCACATCTCGGCAACTGTAAATTGAGCTGTGATAAACATTCTAGTTCAAATGTCTTTATGATAAAATGATTTGTTTTCTTCTGGCCAGTAATGAGATTGCAGGGTCAAATGGGAGATCTAATTTGACTTCTTTGAGGATTCTCCAAAGAGGCTGTTTTAGTTTGCAATCCCACCAGCAGTGTAAAAGTGTTCCCTCCTCTCCACATCCACACCAGCATCTGGAGCTTTAGGACTTTATGATATAAGCTAATCTCACTGGGATCAAGTGATATCTCAGGGTGCATTTCTCTGATGATGAAGGATGATGAGAATTTTTTCTTATGTCTATTAGTATCTAATGATAGATGGATAGAACAAAAATGACAAAGACATACATGCTTAAATGAGCAATCGGGAATGAATAGGGGGAAGAGAGTCTGAGACCCAGAGAGGGGCTGTGAATTAGCCCAGTTCACACAATGAACTTGGGCAAGAGGCCTGGTGCTCTGTCTCCCAGGCCTGCAACACCCTAGCAAAAGACTACTGGGAAAGGCCAAAAGCCCAGGCTAGGAAGGGGACACCAACCTTCTCGATTTTGGCAAGTGAAACCTCAATCAAGATGCTGAACTTCTTAACAGCAGCCAGGCCCTTCAGCAGAGCAATTATCCACTTGTCAATGTTCTTCCCAAGTGGCCAGGACACCCAGTCGATCATCCTGGTGAGGAATGTGACAGTGACACAGGGACAGAGAAGGTCCATATGCCTGGGTGAGGGCAGCCATAATGTCCTGAGTTCCCATACTAACTCACACCTGCACAGGACAGCCCTGCGGTGTGTGAGATGAATAAGACACCTTTGGGAAATACAGATGAGCCCCACACAGACACCTGCCAGAGACTAAGGCACACAGCCCACCAGGAAGGGAGCCAGGCCCTCTCTACACCCCAAACCTCACCCTCCACACTGAACAAAGCTTTCACTGCTAGGAAGAGCACTTCCCCTGAGCCAGAAGCTCTGGTGCTAGCAAGTCCTTGCTAGGCAACCCAGAGCAAGCCATATCCCCTCTCTGAGCCTCAGTTTCTTCCTCTGTAAAGTGGGGACAACTGTTCTGTGGTGGGATTCACTGTGCACTGCTCTCTTAGCTATCCATGTGTCGCCTCTAAGGATCCCCACCACACACACCTAAGCAGACTGAGCATGAAGCTGCCACATACATAGGAGGTGCTCAGGAGAGCATCATTATTATGACCTTGTACTCAGATTATACTATAAACAGGGAGAACAGTGAGAGATCAAAGTAATGAAACTGCTCCATGCATTTTCCATGTATCACTTCATTTTGTCCGATTTCATCCAACAACAGCCCTACATGGTGGTTCAATCACATTCCATTGTAATGGTCGAGGAAATTGATGCATAGAGAGGTTGAGTGACTTGTCCAAAGCCACTCAAGCAAGAAGCACTCAGGCAAGAAGTGCAAGAAGGCAGGATTTGACCTCAGGCAACTTACCTCTAGAGCCCACACTCTTACCCACTAAAGACAAGGAATCCAGGAAGGCCCTACAGAGACAGTAGAACTGCACACAGGATGGAAAGAATGGCAGAGGGAGGCATGCCAGGTGCGTGGGGTCTGCATAGGCAAAGGCCTGCAGGGGGGAGGAGGGGAGGCAGCATGTTCTGGGGTCACCCGACAGGCAGGTGTGACTAGATTACAGGTATGACAATGTTCAGGTGAGGTGGGAAGTGCAAGGGGGCTCTGGGGGTTCAAAAGCACCCAAACTCTGCTTATTGTATTTGCCAGACTCACAAAGCACATCCGCAAAGTACCTTTGCCTTTTCCTCCAACTCATGGAAGCCTGACTTCTTACACCATCACCTACCTCTGCTTTTACAGAGGGGGAAACTGAGGCTGAGAGTTCACTGGCATGTCCAGGGTTACAAAACTGATTCCTAACCTGACAGCATCACTAGGGCAGGACCCTCCGCGTCTCCCACATCCAGCCTAGGCCAGAGCAGAGCTCAGGAAAGGATGGATAACCTTCCTAAGGCCACGGCCCTTTAATACAGTCCCTGGCCGCTTGAGAAGAACATTGACAAACGGATAATTTCTGGAACTGTATTAAAAGGCTGCGGCATCAGGAAGGTTGAGAACCACTACACTAAATCTAGCCCAGGATCCCCACACAGTGGAAGGGGCCCTCATTACCCCACCTGCTGATGGCAGTCAGCATCTGGGAGTCCGTCACACTGTCATCATTGCTGAGGTTCCGGACAACACCGTCCATCAATTCCAATGGGAGGTGCTGGACCACACTGGCCAGGGCACTAGACGGCGGCTCCTCCTCTGGAATAGGGGGCTGAGCTGAGCTGAGCAGAGCATGCAGCCCCTCTCTTCCCCTACCACCCCATGCCCTTGTGTTGCCGAGGAACTAGGCTGGGCCTCTGAAAAGAGCACCTCCTCTCCTAGAGCACCGCAGCCTCTCAGTCCACATTAACTCATTCACTAGCACCTTCGCTAGCACCCTGCTTTGGGCTCAGTCCTGGTCTGTGGGGGCACAGGCAAGGCCTTTAGAAGGGGCAACATGCGGCAAGCCTGAAAAGGCCAGAGGGCTGTTTGGACAGCAGGGAAGGGACGCTCCAGGTGGAAACACGGAGGCTTCTGTGGGAAAGCGCATTTAGTTATCAAAGTTTGTTTTCCCATCCTATAAGGCCCAGGTTCTCCACCTGCCAAGTGCATTCCTTTCCTTTCCCCTGCTCAGCCCTACAATCAGGAAAGGCATAGATCCTATTTCAGCCATTTATTCTATAGTCCACTGTTTTCAATGGAGGATCAAGATTTTAAGTATCGGAGTTATCAACTGTGGGCTCCAAAGGTATCCAGACCGTCTGTCTGGATACTTCTGCCTGTCCAGAGAACCTCGGCCTTGCTGCCAGGTGCCAACAATCTCTAATGACCTGGCTCAAAGGTGGCTTCTATCAAACCCCCTCCCTCCCCCCCGCTGCCCCCCAGCTCAAAGACCATGATGAGCCACGGATCCTGCCGGCTTGCTCAACCCCATTTCTCCCTCTGGCCAGACTGATCCCTGTTCTCGCCCACAGGCAGTGTGCTCCTTCCTGCGTTTCCAGCACCCACCAGGGAGACGACCCACATTAAGCACTCCAGATACGTTCACCAACTCAAAGAAGGAAAATGGCAGCCCCCCAGCCGTGCACTCGCCCCTTGCCCACACCTGCCACACCCATCAGGCAGGCACCCGCATGCAGAGAATCCGCACATACAGCCACCCGCCTAGACGACCATCCCGGACCCACCAGCACACGCACCTGTGCACGAGATGACGGCGAACAGCTCTTTGAGGCAGGGCAAGATGGCGGCGGGCTGTGCACGCCACAGCTGGGCCAGGAGCCCGCTCACCTGCTGCGCCTGCTCCAGGAACTCCACGGCGCCCTCCTCGCCCTCGGCGGGGCAGCGGAAGCGGCCGAGGCAGCGCACCAGCTGCTGGCAGAAGAGCAGGCGGTGCGGGCCGTCGGGCACGCAGCGCGGGTGCCGCGCCAGCAGCCGGGCCACCTGCGCGCAGGCCGCGGGCCCAGGACGCTCACACACGGCGCGCAGCACCTCGCGCCGCAGCAGTGCGAACACCTCGTCGGCCGCAGGCCCCTCGGGCAGCAGCTGCAGGCCCAGCTGCACGCAGGCCAGCGCCCGGGCGCCCGGCGGGCCAGCCCCGCCCTGCAACAGGCGCAGCACGCGGCGCGCGCTGAAGAACTCGGCGAAGACGTCGGGGTGGTGGCGGCCGGCCACGTGCAGCAGCTGGCAGCCCACGCGGCGCGGCAGCTCGTCGGCGCCGCCCACGTAGAGCCGCGCGCCCAACGCCAGCAGCGCCAGGCACTGCTCCCGCTCCAGCGGTTGCCGCGCCGCCTCCAGCACGCGCCGCACCAGCCCTTGCTTCACGCTGGCCGGGTAGGACGACGTCACGACCGCCTCCAGGATCTTGTCCATGACGCCCGCTGCGGGGACAGAGACCTGGTCATACTCTGCCTGACAGTTGATGGGCTTGAGAGTTCCCAGGATATTACCCTGAATGCTAAGACTTTGGGAGAGCCCCTCAACCTTTCTGGGCCTCAGTTCCCTCATCTGTAAAATGGGGCAAGGATGTCCCGCAAATGTCTTGATGACGGAAAGCACAATAGCTGGTACCTAAGGAGCCCCAGGGAGCTGCAGCTTTCGCAACTAAGTAATGTCCCAAAGGCTACATGAGCCTCCCCCACACTCACACCTCTGCTTCTCTCCCCAGGATCCCTGGTGACCTCACCCACTCTGGGGGCAGCCCAGAGTCTTAGCCAAGTCACGTCCATGGGGGAGATGAGATGAGAACATAAAAAAAGCCACACATCCAGGAAGGAAGGGCCCGCGGCCCCCAGGGAGGGGCAACAAGGCTTCTCATGATCCCTGACATACTTATTCTGCCCCCCTCAACTCCTTGCCTTTGCCGAGTAACCCGCACTTTTGCAAGACTCCACTGTGTTGTCTGTGCAGCGCCTCCTGCCAGACACATCCCACCTCCTCAGCCCCACCACCACCACCACCACCACACTCTCACAGAACCAGGCAAACTCCTGTTTTCTTTCAAAGCATCGTGAAACAAAACAAACCAAAAAAGGACAAAAATTAATAGTCTACTGCAGTTAGAGGGTGTAGCCACAGTAGAATTCAGTGGTTCCTAAATGCTGTCCTGGCTGCCTCAGTATCATTTGGGCATTTGTTAAAAATTCAGAGCTCAGGGCCTGCCCCAAGCCTCCTGAACTAGGAAGTGGGGAGGAATAGTGTGTTAAGATTCTGTCTGGGTTTTTTTTTTGTTTTGTTTTGTTTCGTTTTTTGAGACAGAGTCTCACTCTCTATCTCAGACACTTTTGGGTGACTCAAGTTGATCCTCTTGCCTCAGCCTCCCAAGTAGCTGAGACTACAGGTGCCCACCACAACACCAGGCTTAATTTTTAGGATCTCACTTTTTGCTCAGGATCAAACTCCTGAGCTCAAGCAATCCGCCCACCTGAGCCTCCCATAGTGCTAAGATTACAGGCATTAACCACCACACCTGGCCAAGACTCTGCTTTTTAACTCTTTGAGTGAAGTTCATCAGGATGCATTCTGGTTACCACAAAGGTTACTTTGTTTTCTGAGCCTGTTTCCAACTTGCAGAGTTGTGAAGGCAAATATAAAGTCTTTAACATGGTGCTTCACACAAGAAGGTTCTCAGAAAATATCAGTTCCTATTGCTTTAAAAGCAAAGTCCTCGCCCTTAAGGAGACTCCTTAAGGAGTCTGGTGGTAGAGGCAGACAAGTCTGTAATAAGAGCCAGGCAAGGCATAATCTCAAAAGTTTTGCCTTCAAAAGTGTCTTTAAATACACTTTACGGGCTCAAACCAGCTTCCTGGCTGTGGCCACCATAGGGGGCAGTGGCTGGGCTAGATTCAAAGCCTGGACTCTGTGGTCTTCCAGGACACATGCTGCTATTGGAGGATGGGTTGAGGGAGGGGAATGAGGAGGTGGCCCAGGAGTCCACTGCACTAGTCCAGGAGAGAAGTCAGGGGGACTGATCTTGGGTGGGGCTGGAGCTCAGGGAGAGCTCCCTTCAGCCCTTGTCCTCCTTCCTCACAGTGCCTGTGACAAGGTAGTTGCTATGGCCATCCCCCCTCACGTGAACAGTCCATCCTCCCAGATCCCTGGGACAATTTACCGTGGAGGCTAGTGATTTAAAATGCTTTCAACTCAGAATGCCAAGCCATCCAGCACTCAGGCAGCCAAAAAGAAACCCTAATCAATGAGGTGCAGGCATCACATGTGGAGAAAGAGGGCATGGGTGCAGGGAAAAGTGGAGTTCTGGGGCCAGGGAAACCTCTGGAAGTAGAAAGAAAATCAGACCAGGAATGAGGAGTCCCCAGTTCTAGGCCCAACTCCATGTGTGACCTTGGGTAAATCATGTCTGTGAGCCTCTTTTCTCTCCTATAAAATGGGGATAAATGATATTAGACTGAACCGCATGAAACTGAGTGATCAAATGTTGGCAATTTTATATCATTCTACCCAATACCTGCCACATAAGACAGGTTGTGCCTGGATACTGGCTGCTCTGATTTCAAAGCTGGCCTGCAGTCTCTGTCAGTCTGACCTGGCCACCTCAGGCAAGCACTGCCCACTTGCCCCTACTCCCACGCAGGCAGTCTGAGGACAGCTGTCACCATGGTCACCAACAAACCCACTCAATATCTTGCATGCATTCATGCAAAAGGGTTTTAGAGGCTTCCACCTCACCTGCCCCCTCAGGCCAGGGAAGGAAGGCAGGATAAGGGCTGCTAATCGCTAAGGCAGGAAAGGGGAAGCCCCAGCTCAGAGAGGGAAAAACATGGCCCTGGCAGGGCAAGGAGAACCTGCACTCTGCCTCCCTCAGGCAGGTTGGACTGGCCTGCTAGGCCATGGACAAGAAGATGGCCTGTTGATGCTGGCTCTGACCCAAGAGACAGCTGTCCCACACCAAACTCAGCAGCAGATAGGCTTTTCCTCCCTAAGAAGAGCCTGCATTAAAAGCAGAAGACAAAGGTTCTCTGCTTCAGAGTCACCAGGTAACCTTGGTTAAGTCCTTGCCTGGCTCCTCAGCCTTCTCATCTGGAAAATGGGAACCAATCTGAGCCCACCACTCACAAGAGTTGAGACCAGGTATAAAAAAAGATGAGGGCTGGGACAGTCATGACTCTGTTCTTAGACCATCTGGCACTGGTAGGAGAAACACAGTCAGGGAAAGAAGGCAGGGATACACACACTGCTGATCTGGCTGATTCTCCTCGCCATTTCCTCCATTAGCTCTCACGGCCAGCTTAGTGTTTCTACCACTTCTCCCCCCAGCTCCAGCCCCACCCAAGATCAGCCCCTCTGACTTCTCGCCTGGACTAGTGCAGTGGGCTCCTGAGCTACCTCCTCATTCCCCTCCCTCAACCCATCCTCCAATAGCAGCATGTGTCCTGGAAGACAAGGGAGTCCAGGATTGAATCTAGCCCAACCACTGCCCCCTATGGTGGTCACAGCCATGAAGCTGGTTTGAGCCCCTGAACCCTCAAGTGGAAGAGGACTTGCCCACTTCTTGGCCTTTCCCATCTAGCACTGCTGCTTCTCCCCCAAGACCTTGGCTTACACCCCTTGGCCCGCTGGCATGACAGCCTGGGAATCCAAGTAACATCCAACATGCTGCAGGGCACACAGTAATCACTCAGGAAAATCACAATCCCTTCCCTAGAAGGCCCAGATCCCTTTATCTGTCTGTCAGCATTTCTGCTGTGTTGACAGCCCTCTGTTCCTGCATGTGGAGCCTGACTTATCGCCATCACCCTGAAAGCACCACGAGTGTGTATGTGTGTGTTTATATCACAATGCCCTGAGGATCACCTCCCCATGATCTCTCCATCCCATCCTACAACATTATCAGATTAGCTTTAATACAAGCTGTGCTCCATCCTGTTGCCTCTGCTCAGAATTCTCAGGACTCCCAGCCTCTTGGACCCAGGATAAGATCCAAACTCTTAAGCCTGACATTCAAGCCTGTTTTGTGACATTCAGCTAATGTGGGGAAGGGGTAGCGATGAAATCAACCAACACTCTTCCGCAGGGACCCTATAGGAACTTGGGCAGTGAGCTTTTTCCTGATTGCCTCTGCGACTAAGCACAGAGGTATCCCTGAAGTGCCAAGTGACTGATGGGGACATGTCACAGCAAGATGAGATAAAACCAAGGATGTGATCAGAAAAGCATCTCCTTAATCCCTGGTCCAGTCATTACCCACTTCTCTGCCCAGCCCTGTTCCTACATATCCATAACTCAAAGAATCTTAAACATCAGCCAATAAAATCCCTGCACTGGTCACTGGGCTGGACTGGGTGGCTTTAGCCATTCTAGAAAGAACCAGAGCAGAAGGAAAATGCAAAAACAAAACAAAAAAACCTGTTTCTGGTTAGCCCTCATGTCAAAAACTCACAGAATCTTCTAAGAGTTGGAGAGAGGCCTTCAAGGTCTCCCTCTCCCCTCCTCAATCCAAGCCAAAGGGGCCCCTCCCAGCCCCTGCTCAGCACTGGAGCTCAGACCCACACACCCAGCTTCCCTTGACTCCCCTGGGTGCCAGACTTGCTGGGGGTACCAGGCTGCCCCTCCTGACATCAGGAAGCACCCCCATCTCTGGCCCCTTAGGTCTCTGGGTAAGTCATGTGGAAGGAACAGCTGCTCCTACCCTCTTCCCTTCTCTCTCTCTTTTCATCACCCTTCAGTAGAAGAGCAGTTGCTTTTTACCAGTAAAATCCGTTTTTTTCTTTCCTTGCAAGAGACAGTCTCATCGTCCAGACAAGGGCCTCCCAGAGTATAATGTAGGGGCCAGAGATGGGGGTGCTTCCTGATTGTCGGGAGGGGCAGCCTGGTACCCCCAGCAAGTCTGGCACCCAGGGGAGTCAAGGGTGGCTGTGTGTGAGGGTCTGAGAGGACAGGGAATGGGCATTTCTCTCTGTATTTGTTTAAACTGAACTTCTTTCTACCCAAGGCAGCCCTGGGAAGAGGCCCTTCACCCTACTCTGGGAGGCCCTTGTCTGGACCATGAGACTGTCTCTTGCAAAGAAAGAAAAAAACAGATTTTACTGGTAAAAAGCAACTGCTCTTCTACTGAGGGGTAATGAAAAGAGAGAGAGAAGGGAAGAGGGTAGGAGCAGCTGTTCCCTCCACAGGAACCTGCCACACTCTGCCATCCCTGCAGGGGCCATCTCTCACAAAACTCTTGTGGCCACCCCACCAGACCAAACCTGGGGTCTCCAGTTTGCAGGGGCTGTTATAGGTGGAGTATCCCAGGGCCAAGGATGCTGAGAATAGCAGAAGCCCATTCCAGTCCTCGGGGGGCCCCCAATCTCTGACACAGCTCGGCAACCCTTCCTGCCTCCAGTTATACCAGTGCACCCTAGCCCAGTCCACACTGGGAATGGGGAACCCCACGAAACGCCAGCAAGCTTCATGGTACTGGGTGAAGTTGCCCTCAGGGCGGGCGGGAACATCATCACCTCGACACACAATTGATGGAGGCTGAGGCCCAGAGAGGGGTAGCTACTCGCCCAAGGTCACACAGCGAGGCCCAGAATGCACACAAACCTCCCGACTCCCAGCTCCGGGCTCACAATTCCAGGGTTCTCCAAATGCCAGGGGGCAGACCTCCCACTTCCAACCCGCACACACGCCCCCAGCCCCCTTACCTCTAGGACCTCAGTGGGCCTTGACTGAAAGCCGGCTCCTGGGCGGGGCTCTCAGGCCGGCTAGGTCAGGGTGGGCCCTCTGCTCCCCACAACCCAGGTTGGGGACGCCCTCCGCCTGGTCCCAGACCGGAGGGATGCTGCTTCTACTGCAAAGTCCAATCTTCCCACCCTGCTCTACACAAGCCTGTATGGACCCAGAAAGCCCGACTCAGAGGCGCGGCCGCGGAGCTGCGGGACGAAGCGGGGGGAGGGGCGAGGTGCGGGAAACTGGGCGGAGCCGGAGCAGGGGCCACCCGGTGAGCCACCACCCGGACCGCGTTCCCTTTAAGGCCAGCCGGCCTGAGCGCTGGCGAGGACGGGGCGGGGCGCCGGGCGGCTCACCGCAGTGCCTCCTGGGAGATGGAGTTCGCACTCCGGGCACCAGGCCGCAAGGAGCCTAGGGAGAACTACGAGTCCCGGGGTGCAACGCGCAGCCCCCAGGCCGCCGCGCCCCTGGGCTGGGCTCTGGCCCTCCGCCCCTTTAGCACAGCTGCGCCGGCCGCCCGCGGAGGGGAGGCTGCAGAGCGAGGGCAGGAGGTGGGTGCGGTGCGGCCCGGGGCACGGGAATGGGGGACTACCGGTGATGGGAGGCGGACCCATCTGGGCACCTGAGAGGTTATCTATCACAGCCTCGCCGTTCTCATCTGTGTAATGGGGTTGGCAACCCCTGCGGTTGCGGGGGAGGGGACGCGTTTCTGGGAGAGGTAAACCAAAGGGGCAGAGCTATAAGAGGGGGGCGGAGTTGGTGGGAGGAGCCAGAGAGGATGGTGATGGAAAAGCCCGGATAAAGAGGGTCGGGGGAGGAGTCTTTGGTAGGTGGGGCAAGGAGGGGCGGGGTCTCTAGGTGAGAAGGGGGCCCTTGAGTCAGGTCTGAGAGAGGTCTCTATGGCGGGGAATTGAGCGCCGAAAAGCTGATGAGGCAAAGCCGAGAAACCTTGGGGAAGGAAGGGCGGAGACAAAGATGAAAGAGACCCCTCCTACCTCTGGAGAGCCCTGGATGGGCAGCGTTGTAGCAGAATCTGCAGGGCAAGAGCCTGTGGATGCACAGAACACTTTCCTTGTGACTAGAAATAAAGAGCCCATCCCTTGAGGTCAATGCGCCATATATATGATCTCATTAAACTCTCACGCCCTGTAAAGGCGTCACCATGTGTTTGTTTACAGGTGAGGAACATGAGACTCAGAAAAGTGAAGTGACTCACTCAAAGCTACTCAGGACCCTTTGCTTCAAAAACTTTTCTTTTTCCCCTCTGCACTCTGGAGAGACTGAGGTTTAGGCTGGAGTGGGTGGCAGGGAAGAAACAAGTTTTGATGCCCTGCCCTTTGCAGATTGTCTAAGGACCAGTTCCCCCAACCCTTCCCAATGCCAGCCTGTCGGGCAACCCTCCTATGGTATTGTAAGATGAAATGAGATGCATTTGAAAGCCCTTATGAAGTATTGTATAAAGCCTCATAAAGCCTGTATAAATTACTGTTGGGAGGAGCCAGAAGACAGAGGGAGAAAATGCTTGAAGTGGGGTGCCTGTGTCTGAGGAAAACCACAAGGTGAAACATGAGAGGGACTAAGGTTGAAGGAAAACCAGAGGATGAGGAATTGTGGTGGTTGTTGGGGGTCTACACCGGCAAAAGGATACATTGCTGTGCAAGGAAGGAGGTCATGCCAGCTCCAGGGTTGTCTTTCCAGCCCACCTTTCCTCTTCTGCCCCAGTGGGCAGTTCAGTCCGGAGCCCTTGTGTGTTAACTGAGTGTAGGAAGCACATTTTCTCTCCTACTGTGTGCATAGGGTGGTCACGGAACAGCCTGGAGACATGGACTGGGCAAGACAGGGTTAAAGATAGAGCAGTTGGGTGTGGGGAGAGCAAGAAGGGGAGGGGAAGGGCAGTGTCCCTACTTAGTCCTTTGGGCTATAAGCCAAAGAGTCCTTGTCTTGGTGAGCTCACTGATCTAGGTGGGGAAGTCTCCAGTGTACCAGAAGACAGTCTGAGCATTATCTTCTTGAAATTAACTAACCATGCTCTATCCATTCCCCTATATGATGGAAACACTCCTTGCAATTACTTCCAGGTGACCTGAGTCTTGCCCCATGCCTTAAATTCCAAATTGAAAATTCAAGAGAGAATTTCAAAATGAAAAGTTTTAGAAGTCCAGGAGAGAGGCAGTGCCCAGTGGGTAGGGCGTCAGCCACTTACACCCAGGCTGTGGGTTTGAACCCAGCCTGGGCCAGCTAAAGAACAATGACAACAACAACAAAAGAATAGCCAGCGTTGTGGAGGGTGCCTATAGTCCCAGCTACGTAGGAGGCCAACGCAAGAGAATCGATTAAGCACAAGAGTTCAAGGTTGCTGTGAGCTGTGATGGCACAGCATTCTACCGAGGGCAACATGAGACTCTGTCTCAAAAAATAAAAAATAAGAAGTCCAGGAGAGGGTGATAAATCTTCCTTGAGGACGTAGATGACAGTCTGGGGTGGAGAAAATGTCTAAACAGGGAAAGAGATATTTTCTCCTTTCCCTATTCTACCTGCTTCTGTGAATATAAAGGGAGGCAATGGGGCCAGACACCTATCTAGTAAAGTTGGCTGTAGTAAGCACTGAGAATAAAATGCTCTGGAAATGCAGAAAAGGAATGAATCCCAGCTGAGGGGCCTGGCAGATGAATGGAATTTTCTTTTACTGTCTAGACAGAAGGGAGGGCAGATGCCAAATTGCAGCGGTAGGAGAAAGCCTAGCGTGGTTGATCTGTTAAGTAGGGACATAACAGTATCTATTCTATCTATGAGATTAAAAGAGATTGTCATGCCTGAAGTGCCTGGCACAGTAGTAACAACTCAGTAAATGTTAGTTGTTACTATTACCATTGTGGTGGTAGTTATTGTTAGGATACGGGCCTCTGCCCAGGAGGGGCAGCTGGTAAGTGGCAGAACATGATTCAGATATAATCTCCATAACACCAAACAGCATTCACTGTCCTCTTCCCCACATACCCTCTCCAGTTCCTTCCGCCCATCCTCAACATTTTTAAGACTCAGAAATGGCCCCTTTTTGTCAACGTCCTCAGTAAACATTATGAAAGTTTCTTTCCTACTGTAGTTTGGGATGAGACAGAAAAACAAGTCCTGAACCACCATCTTCTCCCAGCCTGCCCTTGGATTCCAGCACAGAACACCACAGGCCTCTGAGTGTGGTTTCTCTGGGGAGTGGGTCTATCTAGAAAGACCACAGAGGTTTAAATTCTAATTCCTCCACCAACTCTGAGCCATTTTTGCCTAGCTGTGGTTGGCATGCCAACCCCCCCAAACTCAGTGACACTTAGAGATAAAAATTATGAACTTTCAGTGGCTTCTTAGTAGAAGTAAAAATTTATTTCTTGAGTCTGGCATTCTAACTGGAATTTATATCTGTAGCCCTATGAGGGAAGCGTTCTTCTCCCTTCTTTCAAAATACATTTTTTTTTTTAATTTTTAAGTCTACAAAAAAGTTTAAAGTAGCCCTTCACCTAGATGTACCAATTCACACTTTGCCAACTTTGCTTTATACATACACACACTTTTTTTTTTTTTTTTGGCCAAAGCATATAAAAGTAAGTTACAGATGTTCTTCAGCAGTCCTCTCCTAAAAATAACATTCTCCTACATAACCATAATACCATTGTCAAACCTAAGAAAATTAGCAATAAATCAATATTACCTAATAAAACCATTGTTACTCAGATCCAGAGGCCAGGCGTGGTGGCTCACACCTATAATCCTAGCACTCTAGGAGGCTGAGACAGGTGGATTGCTTGAAGTCAGGAATTCCAGACCAGCCTGAGCAAGAGTGAGACCCCATCTCTACCAAAAATAGGAAAACTAGCCAGGCCTGTAAAGCGTGTCTATAGTCTCAGCTGCTCAGCAGGCTGAGCCAAGAGGATTGCTTGAGCCCAAGAGTTTGAGGTTGCTGTGAGCTATGATGCCATGGCACTCTACCAAAGGGGACAAAGTGAGACTCTGTCTCTAAATAAATAAAATGAAGTAAATATCAGATCCGGGCGAGGTTCACATACTATATTTGATTATATCTCTTTAAGCAGCTCAATCTAAATCGAGCCCCTCCATCTGTATAAATATGTTTGATTAGTTCATTAATGATTAGATTCAGGTTGGTTTTGGGTTATTTTGTTATTCCATCACATCAGGAGGTGTATGATATGATATCTTACTATAAATGAATACTATATTTCATATAGACTTACTATAAATGAATACTATATTTAATTGTTGGTTAAGGTCATGACAATCTGATCTCTCTGTTGTAAGGGTCAATTTTCCCTCTTGTAATTAATGAGTAATTCTTTGAGGCTGTTGTAATTGTGTGTTCCTGATAACCTTTCATACTACACCCACTGTGATCCTTGCCAGAATCACAACATTGGTAATTTTCTAATTCTGCCATTCCTTTTATATTTATTTATTTTTATTCATTTATTTTTTTTTGAGACAGAGTCTCACTATGTTGCCCTTGGGAGAGTGCTGTAGTGTCACAGCTCACAGCAACCTCAAACTCTTAGGCTTACGTGATTCTTTTGCGTCAACCCCCCAAGTAGCTGGGACTATGGGCGCCCACCACAATGCCTGGCTATTTTTTTTTTTTTTGAGTAGTTGTCAGTGTCGTTTGGCAGGCCCCAGGCTGGGTTCAAACTAGCCAGCCCTGGTGTATGTGGCTGATGCCCTACTCATTGAGCTATGGGCACTGAGCCCCTTCTATATTTATTGCCTGATATTGTTTTTTATAGAATTAATTTTTTGTCTCCCCCTCCTCCTCTTTTCTCTTTTTGGAGTAACATTCTGGACTCATGATTTTTTTAAAATCATAATCATTCTTTTTGGTACTCAAATTATTACAGATTTACCAGTAAGAGTCCCTTCAGGCAGTTCCTGTATTCTTTTGACAGGACCTCATTAGTGTTTGATTGCTTCTTTGCTACCTGGCAAAAGAAGTTCCACGCTCACCTTGAACTTTTCCTATACAAGTCTGAAATCATTAATTTCTCCAGGAACCCCTGGTTTCTTTTAGAGGAGATAAACAATTTTTTTTTTTTTGAGACAGAGCCTCAAGCTGTTGCCCTGGGTAGAGTGCCCTGGCATCACAGCTCACAGCAACCTCCAACTCCTGGGCTCAAGCGATTCTCCTGCCTTAGCCTTCCAAGTAGCTGGGACTACAGGTGCCCACCACAACGTCTGGCTATTTTTTGGGTGCAGCCGTCATTGTTTGGGGGGTCCGGGCTAGATTCAAACCCGCCAGCTCAGATGTATGTGGCTGGCGCCTTAGCTGGTTGAGCCATAGGCGCCGAGCCTGGAGGAGATTAACATTTAGAAACTAAGATCCAGGGTCTGGTGTGCTCATTGCTGCTGCGTGTCATTCATGGGCTCTTTGAATGAGCAGAGCTGGGAAATGATAGATAATAGATAATTATCATTACTTGGTAGATTTATTGTTGTTACAACATCAGGTCCCCATAGTGCAAAAAGGGCAGACTGCTTGGGAAGTAGTTTCAGTATG